ATTAAAATGTCGAGAGAGTCCGGTAGAAGGTCCGTGGATATGGGCGCCGTGAACCGAAGTTTGAGTAGAGGCAAAGCAAAAGTCACCTCCGACGGTTCGACCTCACGCGTTTCTCGAGGAAGACACTCCGTCTCTTCCTTTCCTACTATCCCCGATCACTTAATCGGGGACGCTATGACGGATGAAGAATTCGACCAGACTTATTCTGGTAGAGGGGACGCAAATCTCCCCACTCTTGATAGTGTATTCGAAGATATTGATGAAGCAAATCTGGATAATCTGGACGGGGACGAGGAGCCTACACCGCAGAGCAACGACGTCGACGTGGAGGCAGGTGAGCCCGCGACCTCTCGAGGTCCGGATAAAGGTAAAAAAAATATAAATCAGAGTTATTTCTTTATCATTTTGACAAAGAAACAAAAGATGGCGTAGTTTATGGAACTTGTAAACATTGTGGGACCGTCATAAAAATGGGAGTCTCCGGCGGTTATGGCGGTCCGGGAAAACACCTAAGGTCGAGGCATTCCGTGGAGTTTGCCAAATACGAGGCAAAAAAGAAGGGACGGCAAGAAGTGCAAACCCAAATTTCTCGGTTTGCTAACAGAGGTAAGGGCGGCCTTTTTGCTTATAGCGACGAGCAAAATAAGCAAAAAATGGCCGAAATGATTTGTGAAGAAAATTTGCCATACATGTTTTCTGAGAAACTTGGTTTTATTGATTATTGTCAACAGGCATTAAACCCTCAAGCACGATGTTTTTCAAGAAAAACAATTAAACGAGAAATTATTCGTCAGTATAAAAATGGAAAAATAAATTTGGCAAATTTTTTTCTTAATTTTAATTCTCGTGTTGCTATTTGTTCTGATATTTGGAGTGAAACTTATCATAATTTGTCTTATATGGGTGTTACTTCTCATTGGATAGATAGTGATTGGATTATGCATAAACGTGTTCTTGCATTTCGTGATTTCAATGAACAGCATACTGCTGAAAATATTTTCCTATTGCTTCAGAGTATTCTGCGGGAATACAACTTATCTGACAAAGTGTTTTCATTTGGTTTTGATAATGCTACTAATAATACTGCAGCCATTCCTAGACTTAGAGAAATTTGCCCACCGTCTACGGCTATGGGTAGATTTCTGCATCAACGGTGTGCCTGTCATGTTTTAAATTTAT